ACTTCCAGGCAGCTTATCTGCTGTGCTCCTCAAACCCCAGGATCTCCTGAGGGTCTGGTTAAAATGCAGATTCTGGGGCCAGCGGGTCTTCCATGGTAGACTCCACCGTTGAGTCTTGGACCACCCAGTGGCTTGAAACTCACGCTGGGTTTGTGTGTGTGTGTCCAAAATCCTGAGAGGAGAATAGAGAAGAGATTGCCGCATGGCCATCCCCTTGGGAGGTGCGCGCTCTCTCTCTCTCTCTCTCTCTCTCTCCCCCCCTCCCTCCCAGCAAGCTCACATGCCCTATAGCAAAACTTAAAAAAAAAAAAAAAAAGATTCTGAGTCAGCAGATTTGAAGGTGGAGTGTAAGAGTCTACATTTCTTTTTCTTTTTTCTAACTGCCAGAGGGAGTGTGGGGAGAGACAGGGAGACGGGGCGAAAGCACCCCATGGGGCATGGTTGTGCCTCAGTTCCTTCTCTGTGTCTCCACCCTTCCGGAGCACACAGCTGTGTGTTTTCCCAGCTACTGGGGCCGCGTGGGGGCTGACTTCCCTAGCCAATGGGCTGCAGGGCCAGCCCAGCGAGCCTGTATTTTCCACAAGCTCCGGGGTGCTGGCGGTGCTGGGGGAGGCTGGGCCTGAAGGATGGAGAGCGGTCGCTGGAGTCCCGTGTCACACAGCGCAGGGCTGGGGCTTTTCCAGCCAGCCCGCTCCCCTTCCCCTCCATGCTGACTAGTGGGATGTCCGTGCTGTCCCCCGAGAATGCAGCTGGCCAAACGGAATTGCAGAAAGAAGGATGAGATGTTCTTTCTCCATGCAGCCATGAAGCATGGGAGACCGCGTTATGTCCTAAAAGCCTGTCTGAAGGTCAGCTCCGATGAGGTGTGGAAATAAGGGCATTTGGAGTGTGAACTTGCCCTCCTGCCTGGCACAAAGCCTGCACGGAAAGGCCCAACCACTGCCATCCTGTGCTGTGTCCGGTTTTCATGCGATTGTCCCTAAAAATGTGATTTGCTAATAGGAGTCCCATGAGACACCCAAATCGAATGCTCATTCCTTTGTCCTGTGAAAGCATCTTCTTAAAAAATCTGTAATTTGGGACCAGCAGTTAGCATAATGGCTATGTTGGTAGACTCCCATATAGTTGACCATGGTTCGAGTCCCAGACCCGGTGGCTTAAACTCATGCCGGGCTCGTGTGCGTGTGTGCCCAAGATCTCGAGAGGAGAATGGAGGAGAAAGGATTGCAATATGGCCATCCCCCTGGGGAGTGATTTCTCGCCTCCGTCTTTTTGGGAAGACCACCACCCCTAAAGAAAAAAAAAAAAAAAAAAAAAAACTCTAAAAAAAATCTATAATTCTAGTCATTCCCTTTGGTCATCTATTACCCTGGCAACAATAAATATTTTTTTATTTGCCAGAGGGTACATGCATCCACCAAAGACAGACAGAGAGGGGGAGAGAGAAAACACCCCTTAATGGAGCATGGTCACACCTCAGTCCCATCTCCATTTCTCCCCCACTGGGATTTTGAGCACACATGCACACACACCCCCAGCATGTTTTCCAAGCTGCTGGGGCCAAGGGCTGGGCCGTGGCCAGCCATGTGGAATCCGTCTCTCTTAACCACTAGGCTACAGGGCTGGCCCGCCAGTACTATTCGAGTTGATGTTTCTGTAAGCCTGAAAGTTGTACGTGCTTGGGCGGGTTCCACACAAGTGTGAGGAGGACAGGGACAGGGGCCCTCATGCCCTGGCCTCCGTATTCCCTGACGGCTACAGTCTTCCTCCAGCCCACAGCCAGCCTCCCACTTCGGACACCTGCTGCTCCCTTCTGCCCAGGGCTCTCTCCAGTGCCAGGTATGCTTGCTCTGTGGGGTGGCATCACCCAGAGTGCAGGGACATTCAGGTCCCCGAGGTGACTCCCCACCCATGGGGGATGAAAACTAGTGGGTAAGTCCCCTGGCCTCCCTCCAGGGGGATGGTTCTGAGGCTTGTTCCCATGGGTGCTCAGAGGGGCTCCCCCAGGGCTGAGCCCCCGAGCCTACAGCAGCGTCCAGTTCATAACACCCTCTAGGCTTTCCTCCTCCCCGTCTCGGTGTCCTGCTTCCTCACTGTGCTCCCGGGACCACCTCTCCAGTGAGCTGCCTGCACCCAACTCCCACCTGAATCTGCTTTGGTGGAACCCAAGACAAGTGCCAAGACTTGCCTCCTCTCCGCTAACACGAAGCACAGTAAAACGCCCTTGAGTTTTGGATGCCTCGTTCAAGCGCAGACTTGGCAAGTCCCTGTCTCTCAGGAACTGACTGCTGGCAATGGAAAACCGGGGCCATTCTCTGAGCCCTTTCTGCCCGGGGCAGGGCCCGGGCTGCCACTTACACTTTGGTCCTCGTCATCACTCCGCATGTGCTGGGCAATGAAGCTGACACCCTCCAAAGCCTCCTGCACGTCCTGCCGGAACCTCCCAGAGGACCTCAGCCGGAAATCCCTGGGGGTGCCTGCTGCGTCAGTGCCAGCTGGCGACTTGGGGGCTGCAGAGGCGGGGTTCACGAAGTACATGGAGTTGGCGTAGAGGTTGCAGGGGCTGCCGGCGCCCAGGGCAGAGGCGGAGGCGACGGCCTCGGTCTTGGTTGGGTGCAGCTGGCTGGGCTGGGGGGCCCTGGCTGGGCTAGCGTTGGCGCCGGGGCGCTTCATGAAGAGGAAGGTGGGCAGCTGGTGCAGGAAGCAGCGCTTGACCCAGGGCGCCATGGTGTGGGTGCTGGGCGAGCGGTGGTGCACATTGAGCACACACACGCTGGTGACGATGGAGAAGGTGACCAGCACCATGGTGAACATGAGGTACTTGCCGATGAGCGGCACGTCCAGGGAGGTGGGCGGCACGATCTTGGAGATGAGCAGCAGGAAGACGGTGAGCGCCAGCAGCACGGAGATGCACAGCGTCATCTTCTCGCCGCAGTCGGACGGCAGGTAGAAGACCAGGATGGCCAGCGAGGTGATGAGCACGCAGGGCACGATGAGGTTGATGGTGTAGAAGAGCGGCTTGCGCTTGATGATGAAGTCGTAGGTCACGTCCACGTAGCTGGGGTCCTGCGGGTTCACCGTCCTGCGCCCCGGGAGGGCCACGATGTCCCACTCGCCGCTGGGAGTGAAGTCGTCCATGCTGGCGGTGGGCTCCATGAGCACCATGTCGATCTCCGTGTGGTCGTAGGTCCAGGAGCGGAACTTGAGCGTGCAGTTCTGCTGGTCGAAGGGGAAGTGCTTCACCTCGATCTTGCAGGCGCTCTTGTAGATGGCAGGGGGCAGCCACTGGATGCTGCCGTTGGAGCGGACCACCACGTTGGTGTAGACGGACACCTCGTAGGTCCCGTCAGCGCTGGGGCGGGGCAGGGAGGGTACGGCAGGGAGCGTCGTGAAACCCAGAGACGAGGCCCCGGCCCGCCCTCAGGCTTGCGGAAGAGCCTCTTCCCACTGACCACCCTGGCGACCCCCAGGCCCTCCCGCCGTGAAGCAGCCTGACGGGATGGCCCAGAGAAGCCCGTTAAGCCTCACTGGTCCAGTGTGGCAGGCTTTATCACTGTCCTCCTCGAGGCAGGACGGCCCACGCTCAGAGACGCCAGGTGACGTCTCCTGGGTCAGGAGGCTACGAAGCAGGAGAGCTGGGATTTGCACTCACATCTGCTGCCCCAGACCACGTGGGCCTCTTCATTTCCTACGACTGCTTGTGCAGCTGTGTCCAGGAAGCCCCTTTCTTGCTCCCTCCGCCTACCCTAGATATCAGTGCATGGGGCATGGGTGCTGCCCATGCCCGACGCCGGCAGAGCCACTGAGGCGTGAAAGACAATATGCGGGGGCAGTCGGTGGGGTGGTGGTTAAGGTGCTGGACTCCCACGTGGACAACCGTGGTAAGAGTCCTGGACCCAGAGGCTTGAAAATCACACTGGCGCATGTGTGCATATGCCCAAAATCCTGAGAAGGGAATGGATGAGAAGGGATAGTGGTGTGGCCATCCCCTCTCGCTTTCCTTCTCTCTCTGTCTTTCTCTGTCTCTCTCTGGTGAGTGCACTATAGCAAAAAAAAAAAGGGGGGGGGGCAGTATGGCGGACAGAAATAGCACTGGGCTGGAGGTAGAATGCCTCCCTGGCTCCAGCTGTGCCCGGCGAGGCTGACAAGGCCTCCCCTCCTGGGCTTCCAGGTCCTTCTGTACCTAAGGGCCTGGGCCCCGCTCCTTTGTCCCCGCTCCAGCCTGCCCTGTGCGTCTGCTGCAGCGCTGCTGAGCCCCGGGTTGCACTGCAGCCTGGAAGCCCCCGAGGCTGGGCCTGCAGCCAGGCCTGGCCCTCCCGGACGGCGGCCACCACTCACTTGTTGTAGAGCACGATGTCGGGCAGCCAGACGCGCTTCGCCGGGATCCTCAGGATGCTCACGCCCTCGTAGCGGGAGCTGTTCCAGGCCAGGCGGTAGTCGGTCCACTCCTGAGCAGACGGGCAAGGCCCTGTCACTTGGCCTCCTCACCGCCACCGGGCAGCCCTCGAGCAAGACCTCGGGGCCGAGGACCCTGCAGGCACCTACCTGTTTAAGCCAGACGTTGGTGGTCATGATCTGCTCCCGCTCGTTCTGGGGAGGGAAGTGGGGCCGTGGGTCACGCTGGCCCTGCCAGCACGCAGGGCCGCACGCGGGGCCAGGATGGCAGTCGCACAGGGCCCCGCACACCGAAGGGCCACTCCCTGTCCCAGGACTGGTGGGGGCACCGAAAAGCCAGCCCCGTTGTGTGTTGGGCCTGCGTGGCCGCCAGGCACCTACCACGCTGATGAGCTGGGCCAGCGACAGCTGCAGCTGGATGGAGATGAGCTGGGCCGCGCTGGCCGGGCGGATCAGCTTGTTGTAGCGGGTCGTGTTCAGGAGGTGGTCCATGAGCTTCTCCTCGGCGTTGGCCACGCGGCCATCCCCTGGGGAGCACACAGTCAGACCCGCGCGGCCCTTGGCCGCCGAGGGCAGTGAAGGGGAGAGGGCCAGGGCCCAGGTGCCCCCGGGAGGGGTGAGCCTGCCGCTCTTAGGGGACCTGACATTAAACATGTTCAAGACAGGACTGGCTCTGTGGCCTGGGGGTTAGGGTGGCTGGCTCTCACATGGCTAGCCCTGCAGTTTGAGTCCTGGACCCGGCGCCTTGAGAGGCATGCTGTGCACATGCATGTATGCCCAAAATCCTGAGAGGAGGGAGAGACAAGAAAGGATTGCATTGCGACCATACTCCCTGGCATGTATATGTGTGTGGGTGTGTGTATGTGTATACGTATGTATGTATGTGTGCCCGTGTGCATACATGTGTGTATATATGCACAGACTGTGTATATATGTGTGTACATGTGGGCGTATATGTGCATGTATGTGTATGTGTATATATGGGTGCATTTGTTTACTTGTACACACATGTATATTTGTATATATGTATGCTTATCTGTATATTTACACATGCGTATGTGTATATGTGTATATGTGTGTATGTGTATATATGTATATACATGTATATATGTGTATGTGTCCAAAGGTGTGTGTCTACATGTGTATATGTGTGTATGTGTATACACATGTGTATGTGTACATATGTTCTGGATGCCGCACCTTGAGAAAAGTGCTGGGCACCTGTGCCTCTAAGTCCAAAATCCTGAAAGGAGGGAGAGACAAAGGATCGCGTTGTGACCATAACAGACCTTTCTTCTCTCCCTCTGTGTGTGTATACATGTGTGTATGTGTGTACACATGGGTATAGACTGTATATGCATGCGTACATATGTGTATATGTGTATATACATATATGCATGCGTGTACATATTGTGTATATGTGTGTATGCACATAGATGTGTATATTTGTATACGTATTTACACACATGTATGTGTATACACATATACGTGTGTATATATGTATATATATGTATATATGTGTGTGTGTATGTTCAAGACAGCCCAGGTCTCCCTGTAGCAGGGAAGGGCATCTTGCACCCCAGACATCATCCAACCTGGGTGTCTATTCCTGACCCAGCCTGGTTCACCTGAGCAGCCACCAGTCCTGTCTGTTCGTCCTACTTTCCAAGTCCCGCCGTCTATCCTCCCAGCTCTCCCACTATAGTCCCGGCCGTGCTCACCACACCTACCCTGGCTGTGCCACAGCCCCCCACTGCCTCCCCACCCCACTCTGCCCTTGCCATCACATCCCACAGTGCCAGAGGGTCCTCCCTACCACAGCCTCTCGGAGCGCCAGGCAGAGCTCAAACCCACACGTCTGGCTTGGCATTCCAGGCCTCTGCCTCGGGCACTGGCTTGTCTTCATTCCCCGTAGCGCTGCCTCCAGCCCGCACACGCCGCTCCTGCGGCTGCTTCCCCGGGGGCTGCCGCTCTCACCCCTTGGTCTCCAGCGAGCTTGTCTGCCAGGTTTGCCTCAGGCCCACAGCCTCAGACACCAGCGTGTCCTGTGTGCTGGGGGCAGCGGCAGGCAACCTCCAGGGAGGCTCCTGCCCTCACAGAGCCCCAGCATGGGGGAGGCTGGAACTCCAAGGGGCCGTTGTGTGCGGTGGAGCCTCCCCTGAGAACACAGGGCTGGAATCGGGAGGGCTTTCTGGGCTCAGAGCGCAGGGTCCATTTGCAGCACACATGGAGGGATCCAGCTGGCAGTCGACTGCTGATCTGGAGCCTAAATGACACAGGGGCTTGGCTCCGAGCCACATTCAAGACAGCTCAGCTGAAAGGCAGCCCCCGCGGGGTCAGAGCCAGCCACAGCCCTCCTGGCCCTCTGGCTCAGGCCACCCCTTCACACACCAGATCCCTCCCTTTTGAAAGTCTTTCTTTTCCCACTTATGACAGAGAGAGACATCACCCCCAGTGGGGTCTTGACACCATCATCGCCCCCAGCTCCAGCCAGCCCAGGGCTCATAGCACACAGGCCCGGAATCCTCGGGGGTTTCAGGACGTGGACCTGGAATCTTCCAGTGTCACTCAGCTCCACAGAGCATGGCCTTTCCTGCTGGACCAGCAGCCAGCCCCACTCCCAGGTCTCCTGCCAAGCATATTGGGGTTCTAGTCTCCTGAGGGTGAGGATGAGGATCAGGGACTTGAACTCCGGTGCTCAGTGTCTTTAGAGAGACATGTCAGGTGTAGGTGGGGAACTCCCTTGGGAAAAGGGAGACTCAGAGGAAGGTCGAGGACCCCTAAGCAGGAGACCCCAGGCATGGAGAAGCTGAGGGGAGGTAGAGGGAACTCCGGCGTTGGAGGAGAGCAGGTGGGGGCCGAGGGAGCTGGAAGAGCCGGGTCGGGAGGTCCGCCCAGCCTAGGGGTCAGTTACACCTTCTCCCAAGGGGCACTGAGTCTTACCCAGCGCCTCTCTCTCTGAGTGGAACCAGAGGACCCTGAACATGAACCCTCTGACTGATCAGGTCTGAGGAAGGCTTCTGGGTGGGTGCTGGGCTAGACACGTGGCCATGGGAGCCGGCCACCCTGCCTACTCGATGCACTTTCCAACTCGCTGCCTATCTGGAGCAGATGCAATATTTAGTGCCTTGCGAAAGATGCTCCCGGCACCTGCTATCTGCTGTCCCTCCCCCAGATCGCCCTGGGCTCTCTGGAGCAGGGTCCTGTGCATGCTTGGCCTAGATTCCAAGCCCCGCCTCTCAGACCCTGGACCCCTGCTCCCAGCGGAGGCCAGTCTGCAGCCGCAGGCTGTCAGTGGGCCCGCCCATAACCCTTCTTGAGTGTGTCTCCCAGGGCTGACCCCCTGTTGCACGTAGAAAGATGTGACTTGCCCAAGCTGCCTGGCGTGTCTGGGGTCAGCGTGTGCAACCCTGCAATGCCGGGGATGGCTGGAGTCCACCCCTTTGCAGTCCCAGGAGGTGGCCCACTGGCTTTCCAGGAGTCCAGGGCAGCTCTGCAGGGGGTGGTCCAGTGGGGGGCTCTCAGCACAGTGCCCAGCCAATGTACTTGGAAGGCTCACCTTTCAGGCACATAGCTGGCCCTGGGGCCCCTCCCCACAGCTCGAGGACCAGCTATAGACTCCAGAGTTAGAATCCCCAGAAGCTGAGACCATGTAACCCGAACTTCTGATCCTAAGCTGGGGAAACTGGGCTCAAAGGAGGGAAGGAATGTACTCGAGGACCCCCAGCAAGTCAGCGGCAGTGCCAAGCCAAGGAGCCTTTTCAGACAGAGGCCTCCCCGACCCCTGAGGCTTTCCAGCACCCTGGTTAGCTCTCCGTAAGGAGTGTGCCCTGCAGAGGCGTCTCCAACCCTGGACCTGAGTCACCTGATGCTGGCGTAAACACCTGAGTTTGTACTCCTGAGTGCGCGCATGCGTGTATGTGCTGAGTGGGTGGAAGGAATTGGCCACTGTGGGCTAGAGCGCTCCTCCCTATCCCCGGGAAGCCCGCGACAGCACATTTAGGGTTTCCTATGAGCTGCTCGATGCCCGCGAGGCCTGCCAGGTTAAAGTGACAAGGGACAGGCCTTTTAGTGCCCGTTGTCAGGGGTTGCCCAGAATGAGCAGAAGCTCCTGGGGTGCCCCGGGGCGTCACCTCCCAGCCCACGGGCTAATCCAGTTAAACAGGGGCCACCACTAGGGGTCAGCCATGATCTAGTGATTCTGCTGAGCCGGAGGCCACCAGCCTCTGTCCGGGTCTTGCCTTCAGAGACCTTCTCTGGGAAAACTGCTCCACTGCAGGAAGGACTTGTCACCAGTGGCTGGAGTTCCACAGTGTGTATGTGTGTGTATGTATGTGTAAGTGCGCGCATGCGTTGTGTCCGGTTTGAAAAAGCATATCCAATCAAAAAACCCATATCGGAAAACAGGGGAAGATATTCCTGTTGTTTTGGAATACGAATTATAGGCCGTAACTGTCCATAGAATCTTCTTAGCCAGTGGGCCCCTGGAGGGCAGTGACTTGTAGTTGGGAGTGTGTCCCAACTGAGGAGGACACAAAATGTTATGTTTATGCTAATGTTATGTTTGTTATTAAAGGCTGCTATGGAGGGACCAGCAGTTGGCGTAATGGCTATGTGGCTGGACTCCCATGTAGTCAACCACAGTTCGAATCCCAGGCGTGGTGGCTTAAACTCATGTCAAGCACGTGTGTGTGCGTCCCAAGAGGAGAATGGAGGAGAAGGGGTTGTGGCGTGACCATCCCCTGGAGGGGTGATTTCTCGTTTTCTGTCTCTCTGTCTCTCTCTGTCTTTCTGGCTAGTGCACATGCACTATAGCAAAAACCTCTAAAAAAAAAAAAAAGGCAGGTATGGGGTTTTAAACGGTCAGGATTTTATCTTCTACAGAGATTTTGCTGTATAAGGAGACTGTAAAAAGTTTGTGAGAGTCTGCAGGTGGTGTAGTGGTTAAGGTGCTGAATTCCTGCATGGCTGACTGCGGTTCGGTTCAAGTCCTGGACCTGGTGACTTGAAAACATAACAATTAAATAGATAAATAAATTAGTGAATATATATATTTTTAATTTTGTGGGAAAATGGAATTGAAGTACAAGTCTTGGGATCAGCAGATGGCGTAATGGTTACATCACTGGACTCCCACATAGTCAATCACAGTTTGAGTCCCAGACCAGGCAGCTTGAAACTCTCACCGGGCGCATGTGCGTGCTTGCCCAAAATCCCAAGAGAATGGAGGAGAAGGGATTGTGGCGTGGCCATCCCCACCGGGGAGAGTCATTTCTCACTTTCTGTCTCTCTCTGCCTCTCTGGTGAGTGTACATTCCCTTTAGCAAAAATCTCTAAAGAAAAAAAATGACAAGGCTTTTTGGGTGCAAAAAAGAAGTTGAAATCCATAAGTAGTTTTTTTTTTCTCATAATACGCATGTTCTATGAACTTTGTGAAGATGCTGCGTATTATCGGTGCTTCTCCAATGGTGTGTGGCAGTCACCAGGACGCTTGTATAAGTGCAGGTCCAGCTCCATGCCCAGAGAGGCTCATCCTGTGAGCCTGGGGTGAGCCCCGGGGACCTGTGCTGGGGAGCCAGGCAGCCCTGGGACCACACCTGAGAAACACTACAACTGTCCCGACACACATCCGGGTCCCCAAGTATGTAGGGAGGACCCATCCTCTCCTTAGAACAGATGGGGAAACCGAGGCCCAGAGAGGATCAAGGCATGGCATGAGGGCACCAGGCCAGCGGCGGTAGCCATGACTCACGTGCTGCCTGTGGCCCCTCTGCTGAGAGCTCCATTTCCCACAGGAATACCGCATGGCCCCCACACCTCCCTCCAACACCCTCCAGTGGGTTTCTGTCCAAAGAAGTTGTAGTCTTGAACCTCTGGGCAACGGGGGTGCAGAGGACACGCTCGAGCCAGCGTGTAAGAGTTGAAAAGGCCCTTGGAGCTCGGGTGGGGAAACCCACGCCCAGAGAAGGCAATTCTCATCCCTTATGGACTCTCCTGGGGAAGGGCTGATGGGGTTTCCCATCCAGGTGTCAGAGAGAGCAGGGTCCTGAGTGGCAGGTGCCACTTTCCCTGTCTGTTTTCTGCCAAGGGCACTGCCTAGCCCACTGACCCCCCAGGGTAGGTGACCAGAGACCTGGTGCCATGCGTTTTCTGGAAGATTGGTTCCCAAAGTGCAGAACCTCCCAGGACTGGCGACTTGGGTAAGCCACTGCAGGAGGCCTCTCAAGGCTGGGCGTTGATCTGCTTCCAGGTGTCTACACCCTGCTTCCAGGTGTCTACACCGCTGGGGTGTGGGCTGCGCTGTGCTCAGACTCCAAGAAGTCACCCGACCTCGGCCCTAGCAGCCCTCTGCGCCTGGGCTGAGCGAGCTGCCTGCAGAGCGGGTGCCACCCGGCCAGCCCGTTGCTCAGCCCCAAGGCTCTTGCCCGGAGGGTGGTCCTGGCCATGCTGCAGCGCACAGGAGAGGCTGCCCCCAACCCACACCTCCAGGCCCGCCAGCCCCTGCTGCCCCTGCGAGTGGGCCAGCCCTGCCCACGCTCCTATCAGGCTGGGGCAACCTCGAGCCACTCCCCCAGGCGCAGAGCACCCTCCCTTTCCTCCCACCTGTGGCCATTCCGGCCCCACTTTATAAACCGGACCCAGGCGCCCCTCCCTGCTTCCCCCAAAAGGAACTCACCGTGCCCGCAAAGGGCGACCAGAGAGAAAACGACCAGGGAGTGCGCGCTTTTCATAGCGGGTGGGGCTGGGGTGCAGCCCTGCGAGCTGGGCCGTCGGATCACCCGGGCACTGGCGAGCCGCTACCCGGCGAGGGAGCGAGTGAGCGCTG